TCTTAGCTCTGTAATCTTAAGCAAACAACCTAAACTTCATAAGCCCTTCTTTTGCAAAAGGAATAATAATTTTATAAGCTCCTAGTATCATTATGAGTGTTATGTTTGCCAAGAAAGAGTGCTCAATAAATATTAGGTACTATTATTTTCAAGATAACCAATGGCATAATATTTGATGTTTGCTATAAAATTGAACATGTTTTATTTAAAAAAAATAAAATAGACATATTTGTGGAAGACTATGTATTACATGTATTACATACAGAACTTTATTAAACTTGTCTCAATTCAAAAGTTAAAACTATAATGTGAGTCCATACATAGCTGGATTTTTGTCTTGTTTTTCCATGACACACATCCATTATATTTCTCCTTTCTTTTTAAGGAACTAGAATGCACCAGTCCCTGCCAGAACAAGAAAAATGCACTTCTTCATCTGGAAATACCCCTAGTTCTCAGTCAGTCCTCATTACACCAGTGATTGTAGTTTGCAGTAGCTTTTGAGTCATAATGAACTCAGCTTCTTCCTGGGACCAGCCTTCAGATTACACAGACTGAAACAGTGTGTATCACCAAAAGCTCCAGGAAATGATTTTACACATATCTCAATCCTTTGTAGATTGTTTGTGATACAATTGCATCATCCTCCTTGGAACATCCTGTATGTAAAGTAAGGGCTGGGGGCAGGGGTTGGGGGTGGGGAGGCATGGTAGCCTCTGCCTAACCTGAAAGAGGACCAGACCACAGTTTTACCTACAGCCAGGGGGCTGCTCCTAGGGCTCAGTTTTGGAGGTCATCTTGCTTTTAATATTATCCAGCTCACTTGAAACTGTTGAAAGGACTCAAGAATGACCAAACCCATGTCACAACTATTTTCATTTCTAGAGTAGAAGTTCACTATGTAATAAAACCTAATAAATCAAACTAGTAAAAGAGTCAAGATTATTTTGTTAAAATAAATCTGGTAGATCTTGATGTAAAATATGCCTATAAATTCTTAGAAACACAGGACACAAAACAATTAAAATTTTAGTTTTTAGACACAACGGAGTGTGATTTAAAAAAAAACTCAAAACTAGAGCCTTAAGCTAGTCATTAGAGGGAAGAAAGGGGCTGAGAGACAGAGTCCGGGCTCAGACAGTTTATAAAGGCAAAGGAAAAAGGGAAGCAAGATCATGCTCAAATCAGGCAACAGGAGAGCAAAGAAAATAAAGATGTGTGTGTGTGTGTGTGTGTGTGTGTGTGCGCGCGCGTGCGCACGCACCCTTGCACTGTTCACGTATAATATGCAAACATTCTGGAAAGAAAGACGCATAGTTTATTAAAGGAATTCATGGTAATCCCCCTTTCTGTGCCCAAAGTTAACTTGATTAGTATCAGAAGAAAAGTTAATATTTACACAGTCCTTTTCACATCTGCTACTTCCATAATGTCTGAGCAATTGTCATAAATTAACAGTGGGGAAGGGAACAGTGCCAATTGTCAAAACAAACAGGCAATTCTGGACTCCAAATTTCACATTATTTTCCTTGAGCATTCCGAGTGCTGCCTGTCCTAGCAGTGGCCAGCTCCAGTGCTGGAACGGCATCACCCCCTGACCTGGATCCTAGCCCCAGCTCTGCCCTCGGGACAAGGAATGCTGGCAGGGCAGGGCTAATAACACAGATCCTGAGGAAACCTTGTCCCTTTGGTGTATGTGGCCTTATTAAATTAATGTAGCTAGGGATACCAAAATAACACCAGCACTATTGATACAAGGGGTTGGGACTAAGTTCTGTCTTCTGTATTATTCCTGTCTTCCTCAAAGTCAGGGTCTATATTTCTGTACCTCCCATAGTGTCAGTCCACAGTGAATTAGAAGCTTGTGCCCTGTGGTTTGGCCTCTTTCTTTGTCTCCAGACCAGGCCTGACAGCTCTGGTTCTTTCCTTCCATCTTCTCACCTCCATGTGGTTCAGCCCCTTCAGGACAGAGAGCTGCTTGCCCTTCTCCCCCTCTTGTGTGGTGGGATCTGCTCACACCAGCTGGTAATTAGATAGAGGCTAATGTCGAACCTTACCGGAAAGCTCCACTCTAGAAGTAAAAGCACTAGCCCTGCCGATGGCAGAGGGGATCCTTGTCTCCCAGTAGACATTGTCCTGTGTTTTTCTATCCCTCGGAGTGCTCTAGGATAGCCAAGGCAGGGTTTAGAAATATCTGTTTTCCTGGCTTTTGTCATCATCCTGTTGCACCAGAATCTCACTATAAACTCCTAACAGGCTTGTCTTTTAACCAGGTCTTGAATGGTTAGCAAGAAGCCTTCAGAGGGAAAGGAGAGATGGCTGCCTCTTACTTTCCCAGAACTGGAAAAGTTCTTCTTAACTCTTTGTCCCTTCTGGTCTTACTCAATTTCCATCCTGCTACTTGGCCCGTGGTTTGGTTCCCTTATAATCCATGATGGGCTTATTATCTCTGATAATATCTGTTAATGATGCTGGCTTTTATTCTTAGTGTCCCTGTCCCAGAGACGAAGAATCACCTCAAATTCAATGCCACGCTGTCCTCAGACCAGCCACACTTTTGAAGTGTGGGAAAGTGCTAAATACATAGGTGTACTCTGACAGTTTCCTGAGGAGCAGATGCCTCAACTGAGACTGAGAGATGAGAACCAACCAGCTCATGAAGATCTTGGAGGGAAACTTCTCCAGGCAAGAGAAGGAGGTGCAGAAGTTTGGGAGCAGGAATGATCTTTGTGTATTGAAGGAACAAAAGACAGCCCACAAAGCATAGGAAACAGGGAGCAAAGGCTGAAGAAAATGTAGGAAAGGCAGGCTGGCACTGTAGCAGTCCTCCACTTCACCTTTGAATACAGTTCTGAGGCTTATTTTTAAAAGGGACTTTTTTTTTTTCCCTTTTCCTTTTCTCCCTCTCGCTGTCCCTAACTTGGGGGTGGAGAACAAGATCACCCTGAATTATCTATGCTCCACAGGAAGAGATGTCCGCCAGAGGAAGTGACAAATTAACAAGTGAATCCTAACACACCATCAAAGCACCCTGGGAGAGTCACAGCCTTTGGGACAGGAGTCCCCTGTGTTTCTCCTTTGCTAGCAAAGCAATAAACCTTCTTTTTCCTTTTTATCAAAACCATATCCTTATTATTAAATTGGCATTAATTGGCATTGGGGACAAGGAGTGAGATTCTGGTTAGAGAACCAGATCATGAAGGGAACTTTAAGGAGTTTTAATTCTTTCTAATGAAGTTAAAACACACACACACACACACACACACACACACATAAGTTCACACTGGCTGTAGAAAGAAGTGTGGAATAAAGAGGGGTGAGAAGGAAGCAGGAGACAGGTCGAGAAGTTGTTACAGCAGAATCTGCAGAAGCTAGTGCTGGCTTCCATCATGTTAGCAGCAGGAGAGATGGTTGGCAATGGCCAGACATTCATGCATTTTGGTAATGGATGAACAGGATTCAGTTATGGATGAGGTAGGAGGAGAAAGAGAAAGGAATCAAAGTGTTGTGGTCTCTTTAGCTGGCACAAAAAATTAAATAGTTTTGTTTTCTTACTTAAGTGTGATGTGTCTATTATGTATTAAAGTGGAGATGTTGACTGGATTGGATTATGGGATTCTGCAGAAGGGAACAGGGTTGGGCATGTAAAATTGCAGGTTATTAGCAACTTCATTTGCTATATTCCAAGATCAATACACTGACCATATCATCTTTCTAGCCTTCTTACTGCTTTATGATTGTCAAAGCAAAATCTAGGAGTTGGTTGAGATGCAACTCTCTATCATATTCCAAATGATTAAATAATCAATTACTAATCTTTCCAACTTAACTATTCTTATCCTTCAATTTGATTGACACACTATCTCCAGCATACTTTGCTTTCCAAGTCTCTTCCCATTAGTTAACATTCACCTGCAGCCTCTTCATCACGATCACTTAAATCTACCTCACCATTCACCTCCTCCAACTTGCCTTCTGGAATACACTTCTCCTTTCTCATGTTAATTTCATTTTGCTTCCTCATGACACAGTCAGGCAGACCCCGACATGCAAACAACTTGAATTTAAACTATTTATTTGAATTCAGTTGTTTACAGCATGAAATATAAGTTCACATGCAAAAGGCTATACATTGTAGCTCTTATCTGATAAGCCAATAGCATTCCCTATATATAAAGTGTTTTAGAGGGTGATCAGAAACTGAACCAGGGAGATAAGGTTTCTATTGGACGCCACTCTGCCTGCTGAGATTACTCTGTTCATAAGTGGGCATCAATTCAGGCAGAGGAAAAACTTTATTCAAAATCTGATTTCCCCTGAGTTGATCTACTTTGCTATTATGGGAAGCTTCAACTGGCAAATGGGGATATATATTTCTATGAAGGTGGTTGTTTTGCATCAAGGAGAGAAACTATGTTTTATAAATGTAATCCTTACCTGGCATTAAAAGACTGGAAGGGGATGCTTAGGAGCAAAAACAAAAGCACTAAATACACTATAGAAAGACACCTTTGTAAACTTTCTAAAATTATTTGTGAGTATTCTTTACAACATGGCATGAGGAAGACTAACTTAGAATGAAACAAGTGGACAAAGTCACGTAAAGGAGAAAATTTAGGGAGAAATTCTACCATCTAGAAATGACCCTAACATAGTATTAGATAGCTCATTATTTTAAAAGATGAATGATCATCAACTTATAGAATAGGAAATGAAGATAATATCTATGATCTATCTAATGCTCAACACTGGTATTATAAATTTACTATGAAATATTTAGAGAAAATTTTCTATCCAGGTATTTTTAAAAAATATCATTATGCCATCCCATTATTTATCAATCTGCAGTTGTCACTCTTAAAGATAGATCCTTCATTTAAAAGTATTTGTGAGCTATCCATTACTTTTCTAATCATATACTCATTTTAATAAGAATTGGAATCAAATATTAAATTTACATAGTATTTTAATTCAAATCATAAAGAAAAGAATATTCTTACCAGTTGCCTTTTGGATTTATAAACTGCTGCACTGCATAGCCAAACTGCTCACTTGAAGGACCAGAAAATATTTTTGCTTCTGGGAGACCAACATTGTATGCCAAGCAACAACTTAAAATGCCTATTAAGAAAAATAAAAACATAGTCCATATTAGCAATTTGTTAAAATGTGTGCAATATAATTGTTGAAACCCACTTGAAAAAAATTGAGCTTATAGTTATTCTCCTTATTTAAATTTAAATAAATTCTCAGTATTTATCAAGAATTAATACCTATGCCTGAAATATTTACTCAAGGTCCTAAAAACCACACTAAATACCTCATATGCATAATCTTACTTTCATCAGAGAAATTTAGGAAATGGTTACCAATATTACCTTTCTTTTTATGGAGATTTCTGAGGTTCTAAGAGGTAAGTGTGCCTCATAGCTGGAGAATGATAATCCTAAATGCAAGTACTGGGCATAAAATGAGCTAATTCATGATCCTGAATGCTTAATCTACTGTAATACCTCTAAGGACTCTTAAGTAATTTGAGTTCCATTTGTCCTCCAACACAATAAGACTCAAAGTGCAGAACCTGAAGGACATATTTTATCTCTTCTGGATTTCCCTACAGATCCTGACATGGTCTCCAGATGAAATATCTGTTGAAAAGGCAATGCTGGCTGTATTAAAGGAGGTAGAAAAATCATACCTCCTTGAAAATTGTGTCATTTGTGTCATTTTCTTTCAGAATAGATCATTTTGGAGGATAATAAATGTAGGAGTAGGTGTCATATCCTTTTTATCCCAATGGGAACTGTCAAAAGTAGTTTTGCTTTTTGATGCTTCTGTCTGAATGATCAAGAAATGACAGCCATTACACACACACACACACACACACACACATACACACACACACACAGGCCAAGGAGAATAACACTTTGGAAGAATAACACCTTGATGTTGTTTTTTTTTTTTTTAAAGTTGTGTTTCTGATGGAAAGGGGAACAAGGGAAAGAGTGAAGTGGATTATGTTTCCTCTCTGACACGAACAGCATTAATGCTGACAGTGTTCCCTTCTATAGAAAAAAGGTTTTGTGGATATGAATGCTTTAAATGGAGATGGAATATGTTTCATGTGGCTTAGGGTCAGCATTTATCTTTGCAGACACAGAAGACAGAGTGGACTCTTTAAAATTAACATCAAACTTCCATTAATAATAGTATTTTCACAAAGGAATAGCCCATATTCTGAACAACACTGAAAGGGCACAGCATTTCAGAAGTCTATTGTTCTAGGCACTGAAAGGCTGGAAGAAAATGACCTGCTGTCCATTGTACCTCAAAACTTCTGGAAGCAGATTCTGTAGAGTGCTTCAAAGGAAAAATGATGTCAATGATGAAGCTCTGGGGACTTAAAGCAGTCAATGTGCCTCTCTAAGTGCCCAAATCACTCTATCAGGGATTTGCTCCCTCAAGAAAGCTTGACTCATTATTTCTTAGAAGTATGTGTTGCCAGGAAAAAAGTACAAATACTAATTTTCAAATACCTCACAGTGAAATCTACACAGCTCAACATTTACAAATTTTATCCCCAACATATATTTTCCCAAAGGTACCACTGCTTCTTTTCATTTTGAGGAAATAAAATACAAAAGAAAATAACAGCACATAAAGCAGAAAATCAGAATTGACATTTAGAATACTGATGTTTCCAATCAACACTTTATTTTCACCCCACTGTACGGAATTCTATAAATACTATTTGAGTACTTAACCACTGTCAAACATACTAGTAAAAACTTGCTGAGATGATGCCAAACTTATACTTTTGAAATATTTAGTGGTAGAAAGAACATATATAACTGTATATTAAGTGACTCCAGTTTTCCCCCATTAAGTGGATGTTGGCAAATCATGTGATGCCATGAAATCATCATGGAGTTCATTTTATCATCTATCAGCTAAATGTTATCATTTACATACTGTATACACAGTCATGCCTCACTTAACAACAGGCCTATCTTTTGAGAAATGCTACTGGTCCATTGTTGACCAAAATGTTGTTATGCAGTACATATAAGTAGTACATGTATATTATTATATGTTTATTTTTATTATTATCAATTGACACAAATAAGGAAACTGGAGGTCATTTTATCATCTGATAGTCTAATTTTATTATATATAATTAATGTATGTGTAATATATATATATATATATATATATATATATATATATATACTTTGAATACATCTAACTCATTTTGCTCACAACATTTGCAACTGCTTGTCCCATAGTTTATAACATACTCCCAACTCAGCATTTAAATTTTGGCACCTATTCACCATGTAGGTCTTTGCTCAGATAAGTCTGCCCTGACCCCTCTATCTAGCACAACACTCTGCTTCATAAATATACAATTATTCTAAAAATTATTATATGAAATTGTCTAACATATCTACACTGTTTTGTGTCTAGCTCTACTTGCTAAAATGCTAGCTCCTTGAATGATGAGACGTTGTTTTCAAAAATTCTCTGTGATTTTCTCATCCCCTAAGATATTATTTATCAAATAAAACAATTTTTAATTAATATATATTTCTTAATGATGCTTTGGAATACAGAGAAAATTGGAGAAGAGAAAGTTCAGAGTCCTAACCTTCTTACTTAAGTGCAATTAATTTGAATACATTTCCTCCCAATGTTTTTTCCTCTATAATCTATAGTCTAAACCATAATGTATATTCCAATTTCTATCCCACTATTTCTTAGTGCTAATGTCTTGCCAGTGTCAGAATCATCCTGACTCATTTGACCTCCACAATAACTTTGCATAACAGCAAAGCCTAGTTATATCACCAAGTTACAAATAAGGAAAGTGGAACTCATGAAGGTTAAATGTCTTTCTTGCTCAATACCACACAACTGATGGCTGAGCATTGAGTCTTGGTTGGGCTCATCTTTTCCAACCTGTTGTTTAGAGTTTCCATTCATAAATGGTCTGCTTATTTTCTTCACAAAACATGTCATTCTTATTCCCATTCCTTCAGTCTGCTGATCCTCAACCTCTTCTTTCTTGCTATAAATCCCTGCTTCTTTTGGTAAATTTGGACGATCTCAACTCATCAACTTATTTCTCTCCAAAAATATTTACAATTCAATGTCTATGTCATCATTTCACACTTAGCATATGATACTTAGTCAGTTACACAAATTTATTACTTTTATATGAAGTATTCATCAAACTGAACATCTATTCTTCACAATCCCAATGCTAATTGGACCATATGTATCATACAAGTCATGTTTGATCTTGTTTCCTTCCTTCCAGCCATACCTATATGTCTATACATACTAAGAAATGAATGCTTCAACAAGTACTTATGTAGCTCCTTTGTTGCTAGGAATTTTTTTAGGTCCCAAGGGTACTGTATCTAGAAAGAAATGAACAAAAAGGACAATATTTCTACACTCTTTGAGCTTTCATTCTTATAATTTGATTAGAAAAAATAGCTATATCATAGTGTGATGAGTATAAAATGCAGAGGTATACTGAGTCAAAGGCTGGGACAAAGGGCAGTTTAAGTTTGAAGGCTTCACGGTAGAGGTGGCAATTAGTCTGGCTCTTGAAGGATGAATTGGAAATCACTACAATTCTGTGATTTCAGGCACAAGGAGCATCCTGGGGAGCAGGCATAGTTGTGGGGATGGTGAAAAGTTTGGCAAAGCAAGGTTTCAAGGGCTTCATTAGTGTAAACACTTCTGTTCTCCATTAGATTCAGTGCATTTCAGACAGGCTTGAACTCTGCCCTGCCAGGAGCATATTATTACCAGATTGTAAGTCTTCCCTATTTGTCCTCATGTGAAGGCAGTAATGGAGTCACAGATTCCAAGTTTTTATCAAAGGTTTCCTTGCTATACATTTGTTTCTAGTAACCAAGCTAAAGTATTCTGGTAAATCCCACCAAAACTTACTGCAAATATAAACATGTGTCTCCTGGAGAGATAATTAATTTCTCCTACTTTCACAATGAAAATTGGATACTGTTTCTTCCTTGATTAATATTGCTGTTTTAGTATTCATAGGGAAACCATAGAGTTAAGTACAAAGTAGTTTATGCGGAGTTTGGTTTTTTTTTTTTTGTCTTTTACTCATTTAAACATTTTAGAGGACCTCCTTCTTTGAAGGTTCCTGACCATCTCTGAAATAGGCTTTTTTTTAGAAACTCTAGTCATTTAAGAATTAGTTTCTGCAAATGTAGAATCTACTGTCTTGCTTCATTCTGGAATCCATTTTTAAGTTATAATCAAAATAGAAATATATGCCTGTGGATTGGATATAGTTAATCTAGTTTTGTTCTCAAGACATAGTAAAACTCAGAATGAAAAAAAAAATGTGCTTCGAAAATGAAAACATAAACAAATAAATGTATAAAACAAAAATGCGTTAACCTGTATTCAAGAACAAAAATTTGGCAGGGAAGTTTATTGACTCCCATATCATTCCCAAAGCTTAAGAAAACACGTTGGTAGTAAAGACTAGCAGAAGGAGGGTCTAATCTAAGTGGTCAATGCCAATATAGAGATATCTGTGTTCACTGAAGGACAAACGGGGAGAGCTTTTCACAGAATGGGTTCATGCAGAAGGATTCAGGGACATGTATGGGAATAAATTCTGGTGAAGAGAAGAAGGTAAAGACTAAAAGTGAGAGATGGACTTAGGAAGAGAGAGGTGCTTTGAACAAGGGTTCGTCAGATTGCACTTTGGCCCTTTCTTGAAGGTATACACTGGTATTTCAGGGGAAAAATTATCTCCTTTAAATAGTCAACAGAAACCTAAGAATGCTAAGGCCTGATCTCTGTGAGCACTGAGTGTCAAGAGTTGGAGCACGGTGCTCCTCTGCCTGAGGAGCCTGGACCCAAGAAGCTGCAGAAGTATTGGCAGGAACAGGGCCAGAGGAGAACCACCTATGCATCAAGACTTCATGCCCAGAGCAAGTGCAGCAGTGACCAGGACTCAGGGGACCACAGCATGTTCAGAATCCAGGAGAATATTCACTACTCCCAAAGAATGAAAAAGCAGTGTTTAGGAATAGGCTTCACTGTCTTTGAAGTAGGAGAGTAAGCCACAG